CCTGAAGAGAGTCACTTAAGTTAACCCATATACTTTGAGACTACTGACACATCTTATATTATTTTGTTTTAAAGTGTCACGGACCTAATTTAATTTAATGACAGCCGTATGAAATTGTAGGTCTTGTTTTTTGCAAATCACTTGGCTTAAACAGATAATATAGTCAGATGGTTTCCTTTGCATTTTATAGAACCAATATCAATGTATCAATATTAGATGTAAAAAAAAGAACAATTAAAAGAAATATATTCAATAAGTAAATCAATCTGAGTGCAGATCTACCATATTTCGCTAAGTTATCTTTAAAAATTTTTCGGTCGGCTCAAATAAGCTGTTTGGACTAACTGAGGCTTTTGAAGTTGGCTTAAGCCAATGCCTCTAAGTATAAAAGCAGTCTGATAAATATATAGACCGTAAAAAGATAAACATTTTTCGGTCGGCTCAAATAAGCTGTTTGGACTAATTAAGGCTTTTGAAGTTGGCTTAAGCCAATTTAAACAGTTTATTTTCAATGCTTCTAAGTATAAATGCAGTCTGATAAATAGATAGCCAGCAAAGAGATTTAGTTCAGGAAAAGAGTGTTAGGGTATCCCTCTTCATAAGTTTGTTAGCTGATACGTTACGGTCCTTTTGATTAGGTGTTCTGCTGAGTGTTACTTTATTTGCAATAGGCAACTCAGATAAGTAAGGTTGCTGCACTTTGGAATAAACTTAGAACTAAAGCTATTAGAAATGTAATTAACCATGTTTGATAAATTACAAAAGCATTAATATTAACAAATCTATACTAACTTTAAACCTTAATGAGCTTACAATTTTAAACTAATTAAGGTTATTAAATCAAGTGCATAACTTGAAATATGAAGAGATTTAACTTGAGATTGCATCTGTTAGTGACATTTCCGAACATCGAAATGGCTTATCAAAATCGAAGTACTCGTATATCAAGACTCCATCTAATATAAATAAATTTAAAAAAAAATATGAGCACCAAACATCAAATGTCATCAAAAATTCATTAAATTAATTCATCGTTCATCGTAGCATTTCTATAAATAAAAAATCAAAGTTTCAGAAACACATAAATCCTGTCTTTTACGTTCCGAATTATGAACAAATTTCAAATTTATTTGTGTTTTATGAAGCGGAAGGAGTCAAATTTGTGCCTTCGGCATGTGACACTCTCAAATGGCTTGGAATTGTCTAAAGGGTAAACAAATCTTTGACAAGTTATTATTTTATTATTCGTTGAAGATTTTCGTCTTTGCTTAACTTTCTGCTTCATCTTCCCTTGTTAACCTTCGAAATATTCGTAGAAACTTCATCTTCATCTACTTTTTGCTGCAATGTGAGCTCAAGTGGATCCTGTGTTATGTTATCATATAAAACAAAATTACGCAATACTCGTATACTTTCGACATATATAAATATTTTATATAACATACATAAATATTTTTATAAAATTTTTTTTTTGTTTTTATTACTTGTTTATGTTTTCGCCGCATTCATTGCTTTTCATTTTCATGTTTTAAGTGCGTTAAAAATGAGAAATATTTTCTCAAAATGAAAAATTTTCTTTGCTGTGCTAACTTCCTGCGCCTGAAGGATCTGCTCACACATAGTCATAATGAAAATTTAATAACTTGGTGAAAAGTTTTTTATTGTTTAATATTGGTGTTGTGTGAAATGCTTTTTTTTTCTTTAAAATACTTTTGTAGAATTTTCTTTTTTCCTACAGAAAAAAACTTTAAATCGCTCTTTTAATTTTAAATGAGTATAAATTTTTTTTTTTAAAAAAAATTAATGCATTTATATGAAAAAACGCTTAAAATAGAATATTATTTTAACAATTATAATAATAATTATTATACGCAATTATGTGTTCGTAAATTGTTAAATATTGCAAAGTTACTTTATAATCTTATGTCTAGGAATTTCCGAGTTAGTGCTACTGGGCACTTTTACTCCTTCTTAGCGGGAAAGGAGTCTCTTCTCTTTGACTAATTTATGTATTCCTCGCAAGCTTCGCTGATTATTCAATGAATGACCTAAGATCTGCATACCACCCATACAGCTAAAGATTGCTCTAAGATAAGATAGTGCTATGTACGACAGCCTGTCAGTTTTCGCGTATAGCTTCATGTATTCATGTATTATGTATTTTTTGATATTAAACTAGCCTATTTTATCAAACCTTGTATGAAAGCTTTTGGGAAACTTTTTTTTAATATTATATATCATTCAAGTACAATCTTAAAAATGTTTGCAGAGTGCGGTTTTAGTCCTATGACAAAACAGTTGTGGTGCCACTTGCGTATAGAGGAGCCATTTCGAATTTAATAGCACGATAAAATATTTTGAACTATTTTATACAAGACAATGGATTTTTTAAATCTAATATTTTTATATTAAATTTGATTTTAACGTCAGTTATGACGACAGTGACCTTTTTACTTAAAAGAAACAATAAAAGGTTTCGAACATTAGTGAATTGGAACAACAAAATTTTTTATTATATTATGGACTGACCATACAACTGTTTCGAGTATTGTTAAATATCCTTCATCAGTGGTCTTGAAATTACTTTTTATGTTTAATGATTCGTAAGTAATTTTTTGAGGTTGCAAGTACTAAGAATGAACGCGTACCCTACCCTGCTTAACACCGCTTTTAATTTCATAAAATAATCACTAATCTACTTAACTTGTAAATTACTTAAATTTTTATTAGTTCTACTACAATTTTCTGTCAACTATTGCTACCAAAAGCTTGTTTACAATTAATATTCTCTTAGAATGGTCTCCGCGTATGTTTTATATGTGATATATTGGATATGTGATAATAGCTAACATTTTATAGCACCTGCTGTATGGTGTGATTTTTCTATAATTTTCATAAAAGATTTTGTCGCTATTCTTATGTAAAAACATTGTAATACCATCTTAAATGGTGTAGAAATTGTTTTTGTTTTTTGTACACAATTTTTTTAGAGAACGTTATATACAAAAGTAAAAAAAAATGTCTCAACATATGAATTGATCTCGTACCAATCACAACAAGCAATTTGTTTTCGACTTGGTTTAAATATACAAATTAAAATAAACAAAAGTTAAAGTACCAGCTAACAGTACTATGTAAATGAAAAAAGAAATCAAGAGGATAAAATGAAAATAAAAAAATATGCTCATAATGTTTTTTAAAAATATGTTAAATATATAAATGTTTAAATAACAAATTATGATTTTTTCTATGTCATATTTATTTATACATTCATTTTCAAAATAAATTTTACCCTTCGATACTTTTGCAGTTAATTGTACTAAAAATACGTAAGAATGAAAAGAAAAATTTCTATAGTAAATCTATTTGACTATATATTCATCAATAAATAAATATATTTTACTTCACTCACGCAAGCAGTCTGTGTTTAACTTAGCACAAATATAACAATTAAAATAAACCACCGAGAAAGTAACAGCTAACAGCACTATGTAAATGAAAAATAAATCGAAAGCAAATTTTGATTTTTTCTAGTTTTCTTTAAAGTCTTATTGGTACACAAAATTATTAAATATATTTATGTATGCATTCATTTTTAAAACAAATTTCCACCCTTCGATATTTTGCAGTTAACTGCACCAAAAATATGTAATGAAGAAAAGAAAAATTTCTGCAGTAAATTCTTTTTGACCATAAATTCATCAATACATATATATATTTGACTTCGCTCACGCAAGCAGTCCGTGTTTAAGTTAGTTCAAATATAAAAATTAAAATGAACTAGAGGTAAATTACCAGCTAATAGCATTAAATAAAAAGAAGAAATTGAAACCATAAAATAGAGAATAAGAAAAATGTGCTGCACTAAAAATACATAAGAGAGAAAAGAAAAATTTCTGTAGAAAATCTCTCTGACAATAAATTCACTCATAAAAAAATAAATAAAAATCTTATTTCAAATAAAAATTTCTTAAAATGATTAACTGATTAATTCGTTATAAAGTCAAAATGGAATAAAATTATTAATTATTATTTTATAATAAATTAAATGCTTTAAAAGTTGAATATTCTTTTTTTTCAAATAAAAAAAAAATAATAATTTTCTTATTAATTTATATGTTCCAATTTTATGTAGTCAACCACTTTATTATATCAATCAAGACGAAAAACATCATCATTACTAACATTAAAGAACATAAATAAGAAGAAGAAGAAACAATGGTATTTTTATTGTTTGTTGCATTATTTAAAATATAATGAAAAATTTCGAATATAAAAATAATGTAAAACTTCTTGCACAAGCAAGAAAAGCTGAAAATATTAACATCATAAAAGAGTTTTATTTTGGTAGATAATTTCGGAAAATATAACCAAGAAAACCACACACAACAGTTGCAATGTCAAAGGACTTTATGTTTTTTGAAAACATAAAGAACTGAATTAATGCTTATTATGAGTATGAAAGGCGAATGTTATGAGTACGTATAATACAGATGATGATGATAAATCTGCTATGATATTTTGAGATGTATATACATACACACATACACACCGTGCCAGAAAGTAAATCATTCATGGGAAAGAAACATTAATTAAAAGCAAAAGGTTCAAGGATATGCAAACGTGTATTTATTTAAAGTCGTTAAGTACCTATAAGGAAGTACACATGACTTTTATGTGTTAAAGGTGAAGTGTATAATAGCTTACGGTTTCATTAATGCAAGTTAAGTTAACTAAATTGATTCTGTTATACAATATTTAAATTGTATATTTGGCGTGCTTGGTTTAATTGAAAAGTTAGTAAGTTTTCTAAGGAGTTGTAGTTAGGTAGTTAGCACTCAGAAAAAATTACTTTCAAAACAAGATTAAAGTTTTTACTTAAGAATTGAGTTGAGTTGAGTTGAGTTCAGTTCAGTTGAGTTAAATGAAGTAAAGTTTAGCTATTAAATTCCAATCTTTATGTTTTTTGAATAACTTTCTAATTTTATTTTAGGTAAAAAGCCAACAAAGCCGGTAAAACAACCAAAGTAGGCAACCCACAGCAACTGTTGAGTTTAATCCCACACGGTTTCGATGGTAAAACTTTCAAATAATAACACGAGAACGTACAAAGTGAATATAAGACGATTACTAAAACTGCTGTTGAGCATACAAAAAGCCAACAAACAAATGTTTTACTGTTGCTAAAGTATTGAATATAACTGAAATGGCTTAAGAGCCTACGGTACGCGATATTCAATACACGGTATTCAATATCAATACGGAATGTTCTAAATGTTCGGAATGTTTGAGAATTGTTGTTAGTAAAATACGTATGAAATGGATTTTGTAAAGTGAACATATGCGCTTTAGTGTATCTTTTTAAGTCACATAACTTAGTAAAGTGAACCACGAAATAGAAGGGATATCTCGTAATAAGAAATCAATATCCGACATTTATGGAAAAGTACACAAATTTCGTTATACAGTTGATTTCGATAAAATGTAAAATAAAACCACATATCTAAGCGGCATATAACAAACATATCACATTTAAAAGTCAAATATAACTACGCGGTTTGAGATAGCATAGATAACTTGAAAGTTATCCATAACAACAACACATCTGTGTTCTATAACTGTGGAAAGGAAGAACAACACATATTATCCTTAAAAATGCTATTCACATTTGACACGCGCATTTTTCTACTGATTTGCTGTTTGCTACAAGGTAAGTCTTCATTTTTATACATTTTATATATATATATATATACACATCTACTTAGCATGACGTGCTCCGTATCAACATAAATGTATATTTACTTATGTAACCACATCAAGTAACTGTGGATACAAAAAAAGTACATCAACTCTGTTTCTATCTGCATTGCTTACGGTGCTTTGAGTATTTCAACACTTCCGAAATGTCTTTGGCATGTAAATCCTTTAGCTTTTGCCTTTGCCTGTTGGCATCTCAAGCATTTGTAACATTTTTAGGCAATAAAATAATATTTTTACATACTTAGATCAGCTAGTGTTATGTGAAAACCCACACACACCCTATTAATAAGCACATATGCATACACTTACGAGTATATGTAACTACGTACGTATATAAAAGCGTTTATTTATATAGTTCATTTTATGTATTTTATCTTTTTCAAAGCACTCATAAAAATAAATTTCATTTGTCGGCGTTTATTGTTTTGCTAATTTCAGCAACATTTTTATTGTTTTTTGGGGGCACACGAAATGTTCGCTTTAGATACTTTTGTTCACGCTTAATGGCAATTATTTTTATTGCCTTGTATTTCGGCATTGTTTTCCTTTATTGTATGTGTCAAAAGTTAAACACATTTGCATTTTATTAATGCTTTTTCAAATCCCTTTTGACGGCAGAATTATTTGTACTTAATTCGTTCTTTCATATTAGAATATACTTTTTCCCGTTTTTTTGGTATCAGAGTTTCGGGGGCAATCAAAATAAAATGTAATAAGTCACATGTAGGCAGTAAATTATCAGCGCTTTCCTCTTTCCCATGTCTTCAATATTATAACACATTTTTTCTGTAGGTTGTTTTATCTTTTTTTTTTTTTTGACATGACAGTATCTTTCATTTTAACTGCTAAAAGAAATTTTAAATAAAGTGATTTATGGTACAGTTTAACTTGATGTTTTACAATATCCAATATATATTATGCTTTATTTATCTTACACAACATCCACGCAGTTACAAAAGCTATAACATTACGTAGGGTGTTTGAAAAGTATTACATCAAAACATAAGGCAAAATAAGAAGTAGAAGCATTTCCAATAAATTTATATAAAAACAGCTGTTACGGGTACCTCCAAATACCAAACATCAGTTGAAATGACCCCGTAGTTAATTAGTCCGTGAATAACTATTAACTACAAGTGCTTAGAACTTTTAACCTGTGAAAATTTGAAAGTGATGACACGGTTGTTTGTTAGACGTTTACGGTCAGGAATCTTTTAATATTTAATTTTATTATTCTATTCCACATAATATATTCAATCAAAACTAAACTGTAACGAACCGTATGAATGTAAAAATCCGACTTCCTTCTCACAATATTTTTCTACTTCTTGCCATCTTGTCAAGATGACCGCCTGTTATCATCGACTGTCAATGATATTGGAAATTACATTACAGTTGAGAATATATAAAAGTAATGTTTTTATGAAAAAAAGTATTAGGAAAAAAGGGCTTGTTACTATTTCCAAATTACTTTCTGCGATATAATTGACTTTTACACAAAATTTAATTTTTAATCATCTTTATTTTTGTTCCACAACTCTTTGCTAGCATTGAAATACTTGTTAATCTAGGTAGGTAGATTGGAGTGGCGATCTTGACTCCAAAAAGCCCACTTCAGCTTAAATGATGGCCCATTGTGGTACCACAGAAATAGCACTGGTACGTATATAGATTTAAATCAATATACAGCCAACGCCGAAAAAGGTAATTATTCCCCCATTAGATAAAGGACAACCAACCTGACAGTTCTATACACTTGGCCAGGTCCCTAACATTACAGAATGACAGCTCAGTCAGATCGGTGAGAAAAGGGAATCCGAAGATTTTTAAACTTCATCTAGCTAAAGAAGGACACTAACACATAAGATGGAGCACGGCCTCCTCCCTATTCTCAGAGCCACAACCTTGACAAAACTCATTATAGGGTAGACCCAGTCTCATAGCATGGCTTCTTCTTTCGCAGTTTATCTAGCTGTGATAAAATTTTGTATTTCATATAAAGGTTATTAATAAAGATAAGGTAATAAAAACTAAATCATCACATTACATTACATTTGATTATTATTACGATTTGATCAATACATTTTTTTATATAATTTCCTTTCTTTAATTTTATTTTAATTAAAAACAAAAACTTGGCATATAGGGTAGATTTATGCAAATTTTGATCAAAAAAAAGTATAATTAAAATATGCACATTACTCATACGCTATGTGACCCCTTCACTTACACATGGTTTCAATAAAATTTTATTACATTTAAAAATTTTAATAAATTTTTACGTATACGAAAATTTCAATCAATGTTAAAATTTTTGCGTATCTTATACGAGTATATGGAATTTGGCACAATATTGAATAAATACTGTCAAAATGTCATTAAATTAGACTTGCAACATTTGCTACATTTAACTACTGGCACACATTCAAACATATATAATTGAACTATGCTCAGATGCACTCTCAAAACTGAAATATTGCAGAAAAATAATGTATAAATTTAAAAATCACATGTATAGCAATCGATATAACCGAAGGAGGGAAGACAATTTTTCGAATAAATTTTTCAGCAGAGCGCCAAGGAAAAGCTTCAATTCAAATGCAATGAAAGCATACAAATTTCTTACAAATGCTCGTATCACTTAAACGCTTACAAAAACACTGCAGACAAGCTGAAGGTGTGCTAAACAAAATGTCATTCCTTCCGCTGTAACACCGACGTACACAAAAAGGGTTAAAAAGGAGTAAAAATTCATTCGCAATTTCACTGTGAACTACATTGCAACACGCTGCAGGCATACAGCAATACCTACAGCGAAATGTGCGAATCAGTCAGTGTAACTGCAAGTGTGGATGTGGATTTGGATGTGCATAGTGAAATATGCTTTTCCGTGTGTGGTGGCATGTGAATCAATAGTATTAAAAATGTATGAATGATTCTGTCGGGGTTAAGTCTATACCATGTTGAGTTTAGTGAACTATGAAAAACCAACTCTAAATTCCTGTAAATGTTGTCGCAGTCATACTTTCTCCCCCTCTCATTTTATCCACTTGTCTTCATAATTGCAAGAACAGCTGCGGTTGCCGCTGCATGCATTTTTTTGTGACTGCATACATTCACGTGCAGTTCGCCAATGCAGTGGAAGTCACGTTCCTTCATTCCGAAGGTATTAACTTGAATTGTGCAGTCATTTTCCTTTTGCATGCACTAAAGGTTTTCAAAAAATTGAAGGAAAAAGTAACTAATTATACAATAACAATATTTTATTCGCAAGAAGAGTTCTTAATATGAGTAACTTTTATTTTATGTATGAAAGAGTATTCCTTTTAATTTGAAATGAAAAAATTTTAATACAAAAAAATTTTACCAATGAAACATGTTTCAAGCAAAAACATTAATGAAAGACTTCACATTATTCTTATTTAAAAATATGTTTCATAAAGTCGCTTAAATGATGTAAGACTTTTTCTTCCTTCCTTACTTAAATATTAATTACTCAAGGTAGTGCTTGATGCTTGAGATTGTGATCCAGGTGCTTTGTAATGAATCAATCTCACAAATAGTGCCCTTATCATTTATTTGATTATTAAATCTATGCATTTATTTAAAAATCAATTAGTTTTTACTATTAGTAGAGGCAACTAAGGCATATAAGGCATATTATTGACTTTTAACAAAATTAATCAAATTTAAGAGCCAAATTAGATACTTGAAACTATTGAAAATAATTACAAATTGCCTATATTTTAAAATATCCGAGTTTTGTACTATTTTTATGCAGATATTCATTAAATTACAGAAAAACTTCTTTTAAAGTAGTTGGAGACGACTATTATCTTAATAAATTACAAATCGCTTCCATACTTCTATGTAGGTGAAGTGGAAGAAAAATTAAGTCTTCCCCAATTAGATTAGGAAACCGATTCAACAAACCTCGTCATTGTCTGTAGAGAGTAGAGCATATTAAACTTTTTTTGGACAAGGTGGAGACTGCTTAAATAGATTTTAGTGAGAATATTGACTTCCTTTTTATGAAAATCCATGTTCTCTATAAAAGAACAGGCTTATAAGTTAACAAAAACACCAGTCTAATATACGCTTAACAAATTCCTAGCTCCGCGGTATAGAATTCGGTTCCTGTGCCTTTATACATCTATAATTCTTTAGCGTTGCCCTACCGCCAAATCCTTTTTATTGGGAGTTCCAGTGGCAAATCTGTTATCAAAGTATAAACGAGATCTTAAGTAATCCGATTCGTTATGAATGATGCTGGAATAGATTGATAAAATATAACAATATCTAAGCGTCATCGACTACTGACAATTTAGATCTTGAAGCCTTTCTGCATTGAGAGTAGCTGTTTGGTTAATGTGAATATCAATGTATAGTAAGTGGGATATGAGAGCGCCACTGGTTTATGCTCTTATTGTTGCCGTTGCTCCTACGTTTCCTTATTTTGCAGTATGAATAGCCTTTGAACAAGGTAATGTTAACTTATCGAGGGCCAACAAATTCTTGTTGATCATTCCAGTAAAAAGTTATAGCAGACCATCAAATCGTAAGTTGACTTTTGACTGTACCTATGTCTATCAATATTTTTTTGTCGCATTTATTTTCATATGTCTATGTTACAACTGCTTTGACGTTTCCACTGAGCGATTTGATATTCATAATCATGATATAAAAAACAAAAAAACATTTACATTGTATATCAAGAGTAATAGTTTTACAAAAATAGGTCAACATAGTCATTAATATAATTTGTGCAAATGATTTGAAATGTTATTTTTTCAGTTTATAAAATCGATATTTCAAAATAAGAAATTTTGAGAGTTAAACAAACTCCACAAATGCATATTGAGGTCGACATTTACTTAACAACTGCAATACCATTGAGAGTTTGATAATAAGGCAATTAAAAAGTCATTACAGTGGTTCTCAGAGATCAAT